CCTTCTCAGTACGAGTATACACCCTCAGCTCCTCCCTGTTCAGTGCGAGGATACATCCTCAGCCCCCTTCTCAGTGCGAGTATACCTCCTCAGCTCCCTGCTCAGTACGAGTATACCTCCTCAGCCCCTTGCTCAGTACGAGTATACCTCCTCAGCCCCCTTGTCAGTGCGAGTATACATCCTCAGCTCCTCCCTGTTCAATGCGAGTATACATCCTCAACTCCTCCCTGTTCAGTGCGAGTATACATCCTCAGCTCCTCCCTGTTCAGTACGAGTATACATCCTCAGCCCCCTTGTCAGTGCGAGTATACATCCTCAGCTCCTTGTTCAGTACGAGTATACCTCCTCAGCCCCCTTCTCAGTGCGAGTATACCTCCTCAGCTCCCTGCTCAGTGCGAGTATACATCCTCAGCCCCCTTCTCAGTGCGAGTATACATCCTCAGCTCCCAGTTCAGTGCGAGTATACATCCTCAGCTCCCAGTTCAGTGCGAGTATACCTCCTCAGCTCCCTGTTCAGTGCGAGTATACCTCCTCAGCTCCCTGCTCAGTGCCAGTATACATCCTCAGCTCGCTGCTCAGAACGCGTATATCCTCTTCCGGGAGTCTAGTGCAGGAATGACCTCTAAACAAAACAATCTCTACAATTCAGGCCCGGTTTGACACACGTGTTCATCTAAGTGTTGCTTAACGTCACCTGCTGTGAAAATGCACCACGCGTTGGAACATTTACCACGATACAAGGATATTGTATCACCGAGATCCCATGTTATGTGCATTGAATTATGTCAGCTGTATAACCCAGGACGTTCAATGCAATAATTAGAGGTTATGACAGTTTTCACATACCCTATATCATCCCAAGACACACATATCAGCCCGAGGACCGAAGACCAGAGAGCCGAGGTGGGGGTTGATATGAAAACTGCAATATATTGACCTTTTTATCATACACCATGACATCACCATGTTTGGAAAACATTGTCACGAAAAATATAGCCGAGCAGACGACGCACTAAGCGACGTAACTCCATTTGTTTACCCCCCGGACTGATATCGATTGCTCACACAAAAAGCATTGTGATACTGGTTATGGCCGTCTCTATAAGTTGGCTCTATCGCCCATGCAAAATGCCTCATGTCAGTCTAATATCTATAGATAGGTTGCAAATAAATAGCACATGGATTTAATTTCCAACATGAACAAGATCTCCTGACTTGCAATACACACACAACCCTTGTTTAAATTCTAAATTTGTATATTCACAGGTTTCAACCGCAATTTTGAAAACACTACACCTAAATCTGGAAATTACTATTCTGAAATTGAAATATCACAAAGTATATAGCTCTCTTCTATTAGCATTTGGAAGAATCGTTAATTGATGTTACAGGACGAGTACGATGATTGTTGTACATTATCAGTTTACCTTTGCTTTAAAAATGATAGAAAGATGTTTACAATTACCAATTTCTCAGCTTAACAACGCATGATCAAAACCATATTGATAAACACTATTTCTTACTTTCAATGGCCATGTTGAACGACCAACTTCATCAATTTGACATGATGTGATCTAAACAGTAGATAACTTTGATGTGAAAGTCTGTTTTGTGGCACGTGTATAAAACGACACCAAAATTTCATTACACGTGACAAATAAACACACTTTACAGGGAGTCTTCAACATTCTCAAAGGACCATACCATTAAAAGTTGCCTTAGTGTTTTCAAAATTTAAGTTGGACAGCCTCTATTATCCCACATATCTGTAGATTGACACAGTTTAAATAAGGTTAACAGTATAATACCATTTTGCATGAGCACATGATGGGACCACCATATCTAAAAATCTGTATCTTTAGTCTTCTTTAGATTTTCTTGCATACCTTCCCCCTCTTTCTCCATTTTCTTTTACAAAATGTATGGACTTGAGATGCAACCCTGACAGGCACTGGTATTACAGTTAAAACAAGCTGAAAAACCCATTTTGGTTTTAACATAAACTGTTAAATGTGAATGCATTGAGGAAATAACATTGAAAAACATGCACGATATCCAAACTCCACAAAGTTACTATCATGTTTCCGTTTGTCAAACACTTTGGAGAAATCTAAAAATGGGGAGTAATATCTCACCCATTTTCATAGGTGGATATTTTTTAATGATAGCTTTCAGTGTGAACATATGAATTATTGTTAAAGATTATTTGGAGCTACACTAAACTAATATGCCGTTCTGTTTACCCAAAAGGAAATCTTTCTTGTTCATAAAGTTACTTTAAAAAGAAGCTCTCAATTCACACAGGTGATTGTATTAGGACATCGTAGTTTTGTTAACTGTGTAATGTCAGTGTGATGATCTCTGTGGGACCTTAATACCATGGACTTTGTGTTTTATTTGTCCTGATCCCACCAGGGAGATTGGCTGTTATTCCTTAGTCTAAATACCTCACAATGAAAAGTTTTTGTGTGTTCTGCTGGTAATGGAATAAAGTAAACTACGGTTATAACGAACTCGAAGGGACCACTAACTTTAGTTTGTTATAACCGTAGTTCGTTATAAGCATATTTACAGCATAACTTATAACAAATAGTCGGGACAAAAAAAGATTTGTTCGTTATATCCGTCAGTTCGTTATAAGCGTGTTCGTTACAAACTTACTTTACTGTGCACTTGTTACAAGTGACAGAACATAACAATAATATGTTGTGGAAATTTGTAATAACAGAATTATTAGTGTCCTTACTCCAAGTGAATTTTTTCAGTATACTTTCTTTTTGTTTGTCCGTATTTTCACCGCCCCTAGTGTTTTGAGGTGATTGTGTTGAGGCAGAAGTGTTAATGTCAAGGGAACAGTAATTCGGGTAGTGTTTAATGTACCCAAATTCAAACCAACAGTCTGTAATATATTGAAATAAGAAAGAAAGAACAATCATATAATCAACAACACTACACCCGTTATAAGTAATACAAGTAAATTCACCAAATGTGTCACTGAAACTCCTACCATTTAATGTATACATTCCCAAAAGCGACACAACTAGACTTATTTAACACCATGACTATAGTGAAATACATTGTCCTTGGAAGATGTCCTTGGTATGTCAAAAAACAAACCAGGATAATCATCAGAGCCCTATATTAAGTCTAGAGTATCAGTAGGGAATTCCTCATTACGAGGAAAGGGTTCTAAATACAGAAGCGTTGTTTCTCATTATTTAGACCCTTTATTCTTGGAGTTAGCGTTTAAGCAGACATTGAGATAAGTCAGAAAGTTTGATTGCGTGCCCGTTCAAGGATATCCTCGCTACAACCCACCCAGGAGAACAAAACGAAGAAAAGCACATCCAAACTATTGTAGTATCCACTCGGTCCGTGTCTAGACTACAGTGACAGTCTACGTCAATCTATAAATTTACCTTAGTATCTATTTGACACGTCTTTGCAATCACCTTTCAATGATCGGCCAATTGATCAGTGGTGACTAACGCTTGTCACAGGTTCATTAACAACTTCGAATATCTCTCTCGTCACGTTTATGGCTGTCAGTGTTAACATGAAGTCACACGTACTAAACATAATTGTGTATAGATCTAGGTCTACATCCTTTGAAGCAAACAAATATTGATATTGATACCTTCAAACTCCAATGAACTCACAGTGAAAGTCAATACTTAAGTGAATAAAATAATCGTTATCTCAGCTTAATGTTGACGTACGGAAACACAACACTGGTGTCATTTCTTTTTTACAGTTTATTGTGTGATACCCTGACACGAAGTCACTGAATTTGTCAGCACTGCGCAAAAAATGATTCACAAAATCCCATTATGTCAAAATTAGCCCAAAACCGTTTTATACGTATTTGAATGGGGATTATTACAAATATGCCTTGGCCTTCCCATCGGTCGCCAGTGTTGTGCGTGGCCTCCCCTGATGTCTTGTTGCTTTCTGTTTCCGGTGTAAACAAGGTTCTCCTTGCACCATCGGGTTCCTTGGGAGTGTCCGACCCTTAGGCCGCGATCTAGGGAAATCTACCATGCTGCTGTCCTGAGCTTGTAGAAACCACGGTGATAGTGAACACCTGTCCTCATATACTCTCTATGACCAACTGATCTGAAGTTCTTTCCCTTCCACTTGCTTACATAAAACCAGCACTCTTGTCACTTGACCCAAACCGATAACCATATACAAGAGTAGTTATTGAGCTATCAAAACTATACCATGGAATTGGGATTCGGAACTTTGTATTTCTATGTCAGGTACACACCACCAGAGTCAAAGTCAAACTTGTTGCCATGGAAACAAAAATAATACTTACACTAGGAAAGAGCATCCTTCCGTAGTGTTGTACATATATCATGGATGGCTTTTGATGTTTAGTCCTTATTCTCCAAGTACTTTGTAGCTATACGTCCCTCAAGTTGGCATAGATCACAGACTCCTGCATATATTACTGACTTGTCAAAGCGAAACAATTTGCTCAGTTCACTCATGTTTTAGTGGATATACTTCAAGGAAATCATGATATGTCCACAACAAAATATTTGACTTTTTAGCAATTGAATCTATGCGAGGCTCAGATTTTCACAATCAATCCTCGTATGTATTTACATACAAGGTTCGGCGGAGACACTAGCACCTCTAAGCTTTAGTTATCTAATACATATGGGACTTCGTTGGACTTTGGACAGAACAATCAATTATTGGTTTTGTTTTGATAACTTGCGGGAGTGTAGTTGCAGTGAAAACGGGAGTGATGCATATTTCTCTCTGTAAGACTTTCTCTTGAACTACATTAGACAAGTGTTCGCAAAACAAACACGTGCCATGAAATAAAATAATTAATAGAACTTCATATCTTTGCATTTTAACTAAAACTGGATGAAACGTAAAAATAAATACATATTAGTGGGTTTAGCTACCTCTCATCCACTTGCTAAATTCGACATGATTCTCTGCTACATGCTCGATGTGTGTTTAATGTAAATCAAATACAAATCTAGTTCTTTAACTTGATGTCCAACAGGAAATGTCTGAAGAAGTTGTTGGCGGGCAGGGTATGAAGGTGACCCAGATTGGGACGAATACGATCCAGCATTCAAAGATGAAGAAGGGCTGCACCATCATCAACAACTACTACATCTTCGACGTCATTGGGGACCGGGAGAAGCTCTGGACACAGCTGTCAAATCGTGAGTAGGCTCACATATCATAAATTCAAAACGTCAACGACTGAGAAAAATTGTCTCTATTATCTGCGTTTCCGTAATAACAAAATATGAAAATTATATGAATTGATCAGTGGAAATCAGTGCTGACACCAGCTGTGCGCGAAAGGGTAAGCATGTCTGGTAGCACCCGCCACTCACACAAGTTTCATCAACAAGTGACAATAAGTTAGGAGGTGTAAAAATCCCATTTAAAGGTTGCATGGGATTGCATCGGGTGTCATATTATATAAATCCCACTGAATGTCTTCCATTAAATTTATGTAATGGCTTTGATGGTAAAACATAGATTATTGAAAAGCTTAGTTGTAAGCAAAAGGAGTTCGTGAAATTCGAATAAAATATACGTGCTCCAAATCAGTTGTGAAGCTAGGACTGTTTTGTGACATCAAAGAGCAAGTGTGACATTTTTTTCGGAGTGGTTGGATAGTCTCGTGGTTAACGCGTTGTCTCCGAATGACGTTTACATACATAGGCCCAATATGTGAAGCCCTTTCCTTATGCTCCCAGCTGTCAAATAGCTTGCATTGTGCTAAACCAAACTAACTCACGTTTCAGTTTCGGAACAGCACAAGCAGACGTCAAGGGAATTTAGCCCCAGAGCAGAGGAGGGAGTGGATTCCAAAACTCCTTGTCAAGGTAGTGGAGGTAAACTCAGTGCAAGAAGAAAACGGCAAAGGGCTAAATTCTACATGACGCTCAGGAGCGATAGGGCAGCAGGTGGCTTGAACAGTGAGTGCAAAATGTATGTTCAGGTTGCTGATGTCTTGTTAAGGCATCGTGAAACAGTGGAAGGATTTATTAACCGGATAAAAAAAATTATTTTGTTCAAATGCCATAGTGTCTGTCAAAGTAGACTATTGCTACAGTTCCATGAGAAAGTGAGTGAATGAGTTGGGTTTAACGCTGCTTTTAACAGTATTCCAGTTATATCGCGGCGTGTCAGCTTAATGTGGGAGGAAAGCCGGAGTGATCCACTTTGGTGAAACCCACGAGCACGGGTATGGTGCTGACAAACCTAGAAACATAAACACGGCGAACCGGGATTCGAACCCACAATCATAGGTTTCTGGCGTGTCTAAGGGACGCAACTCTGCACAGCGAATCGCGGCGCCTTAGACGACTGAGCCACCCGTGTCCCCCTCAATGAGAAAGATTACAGACCTTCAGAGAAACGAAAAATAATGTAATGATGGTCCAGATTCGAGTATTTACCAGGCACCGCCATACAGACGGAATATTGTACAGCGTTAAATCCCGACGGGCTGGTTAACACTCATATTGAGCTATTGTTTTGCAGGTGCCAAGCCACCGATGCCCATGTGAAACAGCAGAGTAACTACTTCCTGCTGATGCACCTCATCAGAGCAATCCATACCCGTGGTCCTTCTACAAGTATCGTACTGCTGTAGAAGGGGGGACCCTTGGCGCCATGTAAATGCTCCTCATGGCGTTACACGTTGTATTCCAAAGGAAAGTGTGTCTACAAAGAGGCCCGATGAGCCCTGTAGACGAGGGAACCGCTGACACCTTAAAGAAGCAAAACTGCTTCGTGTCAGTCCAAGGAAACAGACTGTAACTGTACACTGAGATGTCATTGGATCGGCCAGTATCCATGCTGTTCAGAAGCTGTCTCGTTCCTCTGCAAATGCTGCGAAGCAGACCAGAAAAGGGCGTCTGTAGAGGTTGCTTCCCTCATGGTAAGCACTCTGGAACATTGTACACTGCGCACTCCGCTACCGAAATATGAGGAAGAGGAAATATAGAGAGGTATCTCAGGCACGAAGGGAAGTCCATACTCTGCCAAATACTATGTACCCGTGAATTGTAATATGATGTAAAAAAATAAATGTACCGATTTTACATAACCCCATTTTGGATGATGTACGAGTATATCCGAAACTTACGAAAAGATCAATGTAAAACAAAGATTGTAGGTAAGTACGCTAACAATTACTGTTTATGAACCACCACCAAACACCACTGTAACTGACGATAGGAATTTCTGTTCAGTGAGTTCCAATGGAATGTGATCCACTTTCTACCACTAAGAGTTCAATCACCCCCTTGCAGTTGATTTGCACTTTGAGAACTTTGGTAAATTCGGTACATTTTACTTTATTCATCTCTATCGACTTGTTTAATTGTAATTGATAAATGATCGGTAATAATAAAGACGGGTGAAATATGTTTCTGCATTTGTTGGTGTTTTCAACTTAATTCAATGTTAACTCGAATCACTGAATAATGGTCGTATTTTGTGAGAGCAGTTTAAAGTTGAGACAGGCACTAACTATGACCCGAATCTCTCTCTCACACACACACACACACACACGTATCGAATATGCGGGGGGATATCATGTGGCCAGGGGTTTAGATCCATAGTTTGCTTGACATGTGGGTAAATATGAGTCCTCCTTTCATTGTTGACTGAAACAGTATACTGTCAAAAGTTTCAGAACAAAAGCCACCTATAAAGCAGGGAGTATTCAGGAACTACGCTGTTGGTGTACTGGCCGATAGTCCGAGGTTCTTAACACACATGCAGCATTAAGAAGAGGTCTTGCGAGCTGGAAACATGACATCGTCACGTGTTAACAGAACACTAATAACTTGGGTTCTTCTTGGATAAAGGGACATAACTCTTACTTATGTTAATTCGATAGTTTGAAGTTAGGCTATGACCGTGGAAGTTAATGTAAGTTAAGCTAGGCGTAACATGTATATCGGGGGTAAATTTCAATTTGCAACCAATGGTTAGCTAAACTGTAAATATTGTCATACGAGACAAAAGTCAACGTATAAACTTGACAATAATTCGAGACAAGACCTGTAGAGTAGTGTTTTATTGGTATTTACATTTGTGTCGCCGTCGACATTGAAAACATACATCAAGACAAGAAGCCAGGCGAGCAACATTTAATTTCGCTAATTATGTCTGAACAAATTTAAGGTGGCAAAAAACAATTCCAATAATCATATGACATATCTACTAAAAGCAGAGTCCGGTGTATAAATCTGACTATATCATGAGCATGTGTTATGTAATCACTATTAAATAGTCAATTGGATGTAACAATATGATGTACATTAATCCATATCACTCGTATTACAGTAATAGTATTTCGTGTGTTTAACACAAAATAACGACTTATCTTGTTAATACATGTTCAGTATATGTATATACGTGATCATGTTTCAACCAATAGCTAGATAGTTATTGAACCAGCGCATCTAAACCCAAAATGATATCTTGTCTATAATCATATTAGTTCATCTCAACTGGTGTAAATCTCACGAGGGATACAAGGACACATTACGTATTCTGAAAAAAACGTTGAACTGGATGCTAAGGGATTATCTCTCAACCATTATATGTACCCCACGTATATGTCACCCATTTAAACTTGAATTAATTATTTGTTTTGTCCATTCTGAGCCTTCTTCCAAAACGTGACCCTATTTAATGTGTGGATTTCAGAATATAATGAATTGAAACAGTTTTTCACGAATATCAAATTTTAACGGTATAGTAAACAAAAAATATAAACAAAAAACGCGTATGTGGTTAGAAAAAATGTAACAGAAAAAATTAAATGAAAATACACATTGCTTGGCATGTATCATTGAACATAATGAAGCAGTAATTTGTAGTAATTTGTAGCAATTAAAATATAGGCGATCAATGACCACATGAGAGCTGAACAAAGAGGTATTACACTGAAACAGCTTCATGGGTATATGTTTCTGGATGCCAGATAACACACGTACAATGGGTTTCATTTTATGTGGTAAGTGACTTGGGTTTAACCCAACTTTGAACCGTATTCCATTGCAATCATCGCGTGTCAGCTTAATGTGGGAGGAAAACCCGAAGTGATGTAGTACGTTTATTACATTGGTGAAACCCATGAGCACGGGTATGGTGCAGACAAACCAAAAAACATGATCAGGGCGAACCGGGATTAGAACCCGCGGTTTCTGGCGTGCCTAGGGACACAACTCTGCCCAACGAATTGCAGTTCGTTACATTGGAGAAAAATAATGATGTAATAACATGTCAACAGAACAACTTGAGAGCAGCATTTCTTTTGTCGAAATAAATAGCAGCTTACAGAACTATTCAGTTATTCGAAAAACTAGCATATTTATTATTTAGATAATCACACAATTACTTCAGTTGTTAGTTTATCATTTTCTTTTTCCACGGGATGCACCCTGACCATTTTACGATGGTCCAGAACATTGTAAGACAAATTTGTTACTGAAAGAGAAATTGGATAAATAAACAATATCTCACCGTCAACTTTGATCGACAAAAGTATTTTCTACTTTCAAGCCGGTTGCTATATATGATATCAAAAGACCATTTGTAGACTTAAACAAGTCTCTAAGAAGATAATTATTAGTTTTAATCATAAAGTTCTGGGGAAGAATAAGAACAAGTTGTCCCTTTAAGAGACTGGAGTACTGTCCTTTCAGTACAGCCTTGGAGCAATGCCAGACAATCTGGTGAGATTCAATTTAGAGATGAATAATATTAGATCGTTGTACACTGTAACTAATGATTTATTATAAAAATGACTTTGGCTGCTTAAAATGTCAGCAAGATTTGTAATCTAAGACAGCTTGGATAACAGTAAATATTCCTATCACGCCTTTATATAAATATATATGAGTAATCACTTAACACTTTGCATAATGGACACATGTGAAACATAAACTATCAATGTCAAGTGCAAAACATAAGGTTCGATATTGCGTGGTAATGGTTACAAAATGATCCGGCTCTATTGTTATATTTCTTAAATGTAATATATAAATGTGAAGTCAGCGAGCCTGACCCCCGATCCCGTCAGTCGCCTAGACATATTTTAACCCGGGTGTTCACGGAGGGTTCATCAAAATGACACAAAAAGGATTTGTGTAGTTAAATACATAATGACACTTGCTTACACTCGCATACCACAAATTGTATTGTTTTGAATTGATAATTAATGTTGCAAGTCCATGTCTTCAGTTAATAAATATTTATGGATATGCGGTTGGATTGATTTATGTACTTTAGGTGATTTCCAATACAACTGAACTCTAAATAGTGATAGGTTCTTGATTTACACAAGTGATGATTTGGTGCCAATATTGAAAACACGTTCAAAATAAACAAAGTGCCTTATCAAACTAAATATGTAGATACCCCTCTAGACATGTGGCGTCTCAAATACGGGGTGGCACATAGACTATCAAACAAAATTACCCCTCTAGACATGTGGCGTCTCAAATACGGGGTAGTACATAGACCATCAAACAAAATTACCCCCTAGACAGAGACCGTCAAATGAAATTACCCCTCTAGACATGTGGCGTCTCAAATACGAGGTTGAACATAGACCATCAAACAAAATTACCCATCAAACAATATGATCCCTCTAGACATGTGACATCTCAAATACGGGTGGTACATGGACCGTCAAATACAATTACCCCTCTAGACATGTGGCGTCACGAATACGGGGTGGTACATGGACCATCAAACAAAATTACCCCTCTAGACATGTGGCGTCACGAATACGGGGTGGTACATGGACCATGAAACAATATGATCCCTCCAGACATGTAGCATCTCAAATACGGGTGGTACATGGACCGTCAAATAAAATTACCCCTCTAGACATGTGACATCTCAAATACGGGGTGGTACATGGACCATCAAACAATATGATCCCTCCAGACATGTGACATCTCAAATACGGGTGGTACATGGACCGTCAAATAAAATTACCCCTCTAGACATGTGGCGTCACGAATACGGGGTGGTACATGGACCATCAAACAATATGATCCCTCCAGACATGTTACATCTCAAATACGGGGTGGTACATGGACCGTCAAATAAAATTACCCCTCTAGACATGTTACATCTCAAATACGTGGTGGTACATGGACCATCAAACAATATGATCCCTCTAGACATGTTACATCTCAAATACGGGGTGGTACATGGACCGTCAAACAAAACGACACCTCTAGACATGTATCGTTTCATACACAGGTGGCAGCACACGGACCATCTTCTCGTACACGTGATTGGTAATCTCAGCCTCTGCATCTCTCGTGTCATCCTGGTAGGTTGGGTTCCTCACGGCGCCAACAGTAACATCCGACTTCTTCTGCCTGTCCGTCATCATCATTCTGTAAACAAGTTAAACAGGGGAGACAAACGTTAACTGTATACGTTGTTGAAATGCATTAGAATACTCGGTATATAAACATTATTCAATACATGTACAATTTAATTACGATAAAATTTAATCCTCTGATTTTATACCTCCTAATTTTGATAACCACAGTCAACATGAACTTCATTTTATCCTAACATTAATCCAAATTTTAAACCAATATATATCGAGTGAAATTAGTTGTGGCTTTCCTATTTCTTAGTCCTTCATAAAACAAAGTTGTTGCTATGGTTACCTTCTCCATCTGACCAGGAGGACCAGGAGGACCACCACAACCAATCCAAGGAAGACACACACAGCCACCAGCGCCCAGACAACATGGCCCCTATCTGCAGGTACAATATGACAAGTAACCACCAACAACCATATTGAGATTAAGCACTGGTAAACCGTATTGCAATTGGTGACCGCTTCAATCCAATTATCAGAGACTTTGGCCTTTCCTCCATGTTTACATGCCATGGAGTGGCCGAAGATGTTCAAAGCGGCATTGCACCATCCCATTCATTCGCTCAAAGCCCTTGAGGTATAACAGGTGAGGTGAAATAGGGTTTAACGTCGCGTCCAAGATTATTGCACTTATATAGCGACGTGCATGTACGTGTGTGTGTTTGTGTGGCTGCTTGTACTAGTCCTGACTGATGCCGATTTATAGTGCTAGCTCACTGAGACACCATGCCGCAGTTGAACATGAATACCCTACTCAGACACAGTATACTGACACCGTGCCGACCAGTCCTTGTTTTAGCCCCTTAATGCCGAGCGCCAGACAGGGTAACAGCAAGTGCCATCTTTTAACTTCTTTTGTTATGACGCGGTCGGGGACCAACCGCGGAGCTTCCGCTCTGCGGGCGGACGCTCTACCACTAGACCACGGAGGCGGTCTGTAGTATAACATGAGGCAGCTTGCAAAACAAATCAGAATACAAAAATTATTAAAATACAATGATTGCAACGAACGAGCAAATTAATAACTTATGGTTGATATGTTTGCATGGCATACGACGCTAAATCAAGGACTCATTAAAGCTTTCAAAAGGTTTTCTGGTAGACATGTGGAGGACATTTCCAAATTTGACGCATCAGTGACAGAAAATATGTCAAATGAAATTCCCTTTTTTTTACTTGTACCATATGCTCCCGTGTTTTTTTCAGGTGAACACTCGACATACCTTTGCACGGGTGCACAGCTGGGGCAGGACACGCTCACCCTTTCGTGAACACCTGGTGCCATCACTATTTGATAGTGATTCATAAACACCTGCTCACGATGTAGTCGGAATCGTACAATCGACTGTGTTTTGTAGCAGAGATTTCTTATGAATGTGGAAAAGGTTTAATTATTCGTGAGAGCTTGATTGAATATACAACCGTAGTTGTAACTGTTATGTAGAGAATATCACTGAGTGTGTCCTAATATCAAAATTAATACATCAACACGTCTGAACCGCCTATGCAGGGGAACCGGTCTGACACTCCCTGGCTGGGGTAGGTTTCTTCTGTGCAGTGACATCATGCATCATGTGTCCAGGAATGTGATGTTTCTAGGATTACTTGGACTACTCGATGTCGACTCCGGCGTGGTACAGGTATGTGATGGTTGAAGCTCGGAGAGACTGTCAGGTGCACACTTGCGGTCGACCAGCTTTTCTGGATATTCTCTGCATGATAGTGCCGAGAGTGTTCTTAAGCATGGGAGTCTTGTTGTCCCAAATGCCTGTTTTCTCACAATCGGGGTGGAGTTTCGACAGGTAGAACACACCGCTGGATCACTGTTGGATTCACTTTTATATATTCTGACATAGGAAGAATCCAGGTCAGAACCACTGATGCCTCCTTGCTTATTCTGTGTTATTTCAGCTGCCGTAAAGGAAAGATATTATCTGCTTGTTGTCATCGCACCTTACTTCCAACGTGAAGCTCCTTCATCCCCACCATCTCGCCTTCCACAGCAGAAGCAGACTGAACCAAATCATTTCAGTCAACCATGTCGGGTCTGTACGATCCAAATCACCAAAGTAAAGGAACAGTTTATTCACGTCTCCCTTCTCTCCATGTAGTTTGTGTTTCAGCTGTTTCCCACCCTGCGGTTAGTAGGTCTCGAAATTTAAACAATCTTTTGCTGCTGGCAAATTCCTTGTCAGCCATTATGTTAATGATGAGAGACTAATGGGGATTTTTCAGTTTTCTGTAAATAGCAGCGGGGTACTATGGGTTGGTAGTTCTGATTGTCTTGTCCTATATTCAGCACAAAACATGCTGTATTGTAGCCAGGTCAATTAATGCGATTGTTAGGAAATCCACCTCAATTTTGTCGACTTCACCAATCTTAAACAAGTAAAACGTGGACAGAACCGACTACTAAAAACCTCTGTGTGTAACCTCGGCGTGAATGTTTATACCTTCATGACATACTTCTCTCCAATTCTCCAGGTTTCCAGCCTGACAGGTGCCCGTAGCAGGATGACAAGGGGCGCCATCAGCACACTGGTCACATAGGTTTCTGCAGCTCTCACCGTAGGTACCCTTTGGACATACTTTCAAACAAATACGTCATGTGTAATTACAAATATGTCATGTGTTAATACAAATACGTCATGTGTAGCTACAAATACGTCATTTGTAAATACAAATACGTCATGTGTAGCTACAAATCAATGACAAAGCGGTTATATATATTAGTTATTATATATGATAAGTTGAAATAAGAAACATCTAAGTAACCACATATGCTAACTGTTTAGTTTCTGGAAGAAGTAGTTATAATCCGATCCAGTGGTGAACATCGTCGACATTATCCTAGAACTTTCTAGAGGACAGAAACAGATTGTTCCACACTCTGCTTTAACTATACATTCATACAAACAATTAAGGACGACCTCGTGAGTACCCGGCATGATGAACCGTTAATTCCATTTGTCAAACACATGGCAATGTCTTAATCATCTTATCATCATGTTCGTCTTGGTTTTCCCTGAATTGCCTATCCCGTTACTTAAACATCTGTCTGGAATAGAATCCGTCTTCAAGATATGAAAGAACAAGGAGTTGTTTGCGTAAGTATGACCTGTTCAATCTAAGTAACGGAGGCATGTAAATAGATGTTTACACTCTTCAGGTTTGTTTGCTTTTGCCGCATTCCAGCTATATGACGGCGGTCTGTAAGTAGCCTGGACCAGACAATCCATTGACTGATATCATGAGCGTCGATCCACGCAACTGGGATACAATGACATGCATCAACCAAGTAAGTGAGTTCGACCATCCGATCCTGTTTGTCGCCTCTTACGACAAGCATGGGTTGCTGAAGACCTATTCTAACCCGAATTTTTAGGGGTTTCGGAGACCATTTCACGACACACGAAGGTAACTAATCAAATAATCTGGATTTCGACGTTTTGATTGGAGACATGAATGTAGCTAGGCAACGCTGATAAACGCAATGGCCAAACGATTGCATCCAAAAGTTGGCGAGATATGGTAATCTCTTCAGGGAGAAGAGATACATTTCATCGCCGTGAGAATTATGCGAATATTCAGGAAATGCCAAACTAAACACACACACGCACGCACGCACGCACGCACGCACGCACGCACGCACGCACGCGCACACACACACACACACACACACACACATACACACTAACCATGTTCATGAAATGGACTGGTCAGACATTCCCGAGATCAGGCACATATTTTGAAGGCTTGTACATTTTGTTGACATCCTAAGGGAGATTGTTAATAATGTTGATATCTGCAGTGTTTTATTGTACAATAACCCGCTTCGTCATTTACTCAAGACATTGCATACACACCAGTTGTGCAGGTGTCGCCAATCCAGCCAGTGTCGCACCCTGCAGCACAAAAGCCAGCGACGTCATCACATGTACTTCCATTGAAGCATTTCCCACATTCTCGGTTGCACATCCGACCATACCATCCAGAGGAACAGCCTGTTGTAAGATGAATTGATATGTCAGGCAATCATTGTGTTCGGGACAGAGATATACAGTATCTACAGTAATTCCATACTCAATGTTTAAGTTGTCAATGTATGTCCTCTGCTGTCTGCACTTGTACATTATCCGCTTTACTGGATGCTACTTAAAATATCTTTACCATATTTCCTGAAAACAGTAGCACGTATGCCCCCAGCAATTGATGCGTTAAAGTAGACATAAGAGCGTGGTCCACAGCCTCCCGGAATTTCATCTACTCTCCCTCTGTAACAAAATTTAAAGAGGCAAGGCAAGGCATGACAATATTTTCTGTCTTTGCTTGTGAAACGTGAGGTACAACATTACCTTCTAAATATGTTGTGATACAATTGATATTACATAAAGCGCGCTCAATGAATAGTAGTGTTTTCCTTCATTGGCTCATTGACAATGTATTTGCAGTGATCTAAGTGGCAGCAAATGACTGAAACGCTCGTAAAATGTCGAGTGTTGTAGTGGAAGTAGGATTAGAATTACAAACCCAAAATTTAAACATGAGCGGCTTGATCGTCCCAGAGGTTTCGAGTTGGGACAGTTTCTTGAAGGCTAGCTGAGCTGTATCCATATAAGAGCGACACAAGGGGCTCTCTAGGCCTTTTCGACCTAACTTGTATTTCATCTACTTGCCAAATGTGAGTTGGTTACCTGTCGGATTTATTGCCAGTTTCCAACATCGTTCTGGCTGTGTTAACAAGATTATTAAGTTAAAGGGTTATCGCGAGTTATAACAGAGTGCATCATTCAGAGAAAGCACACACACACACGCACGCACGCACGCACGCACGCACACGCACACACACACACACACACACACATGCATACATACATCAGTATTGTGGCAAAATACAACCTAATAAACAATACACAACCAATTCACTATCTACCTACCTGTCCCAAAACGGCCCAGCGTACAGAACACCTTCGAACTGATGAACAGACAGATATACAGTGTCGTTACTGTAAACAGTGGTTTCATTTGTCTCCACGTCCAGAGAACCCAAGGTGCGCGCTCCAGTGTCAGCGTAATACAATCTGTGGCCTGTGACAGAAATTGGCCGCATTTCACTTGTACAGTATTTAGTTAATTACCAAGCAACACTTCACACAAATAGCCTTTAGAAACCTGAAAAATCGTATTTCTTGGTCTTGCAGTGAGGATTTGTAGAAATGTTTAGATGATTTTTATTTCCTTAAAATAGGAATGAGTAGATGAGAATCCAACACTCATGTCGAAATATGTATCCCTGCTTTGTTTCATCAATCCATCTGTTTCAGAGGAAACTATTATTTTTGAATAACATCTTTGAAAGAATAAAAACTGGTGACAGGTTCCGGTATTACCATTGTCAAAAAACACGAACGCCATGTCTCATCTTTATGGATTCAATAAAAAAAATTCAAAATCTGTCAAAGATGTAAAACATCATTTGTCATGATCATTGGATTTCAGATCCGAAGTTGTTGACAGACGACGACAGGATAATCGTCAACGTCATACGAATGAGTACATGACAACACCAAACATGTATACTTACCTTCTTTGTCAAACATCATCCCGAAATGGTTCCCAGTCTTTTTGTTAAGTAGGGTGACATACTCAGTCCCGTCGTAATTCATCATCGTGATTTTTGTAGCAAATGCTAGAAACAGCTTCCTGCAATGTAAAACACGGTACTTCGACTGTAGGCCGCGCGTTAGAGTTTGCTTACGAAACTGTTAATATATTGTACCATGGCAACTTGAATCTATTGATTTCAGTTTCAGATGACTTCAATTCTTACTTGTTTTGAGTGTCGGTTGCTATTCCCCATACTGATGATTTTTCAATCGGAACCTCTGTCAGTATCTGTGTATCCATGGTTACCTTCCACAAGGAGGATTTTCCATTTTGAGAGAGCTCAAAAACGAAGATTGTCCTCAGTTGAGAATCAAGGGCCATTCCATATAAACCTAAAAAGCACAATGTGAACTCAAACGTATATTCCAGAAGGGAAACAAATCATATACCCGTCACAATGAAAAAAAAGACAAAATGAAATCCACAACTTAAAGTATCCTTTACACTAATATATCCTTTGGAGATCAGGCACAATTATGCTTTGAGTGTATGGTACAGGGGGCGTTCCACAATCCTCTATGATATTGGGGTCGAATCCTAGAATCGTCCCAATTATAGATTGACAGCACCATAAGTTTGGCAATCACGTACCAGCTGTGACATCACTGTGCTCCCTCACCCCTCCACCGGTGTCCTCCCATTAGTTAGACGTCCCAATAGTTAGACAGCTTATAACAACACTTTAAACGGTTGAGTGCACACTAATCCTTATGCTTGTTACCCCAGACTTTAAACTGGAATAGTCCAGATAAGATCTGACAAACAAAGCAAAGCAGCTCTAAATAGATACTTTAATATTATACTAAACATTTAATGACACTTTACATTTGATAAATTTTATACAGTTTGTAACAACACTTTGTGACATTTTTGGTAATGAACACTTTACATTTAATAACTTTTACAGTTTATTTTTCCCAGACTGACCTACAGTCGTACATTTCCCATTGCACGTCTTGACGACACATCTGCAATGTGTGCAGGTTTGCCTCTCGCGGTTTCTGTTGTAAATATATCCATCTAATATAAACTGTTTACTTCAACCCCGAGAGGTGATGTACTCTACTTTCCTTAAACCAGCCATATCTATACTGATAATGAAAGGTACATCAAGATCATTTTTATTTGTTTGATGAGTAGATAATCTAAACTCGACTCCTTCAACTGATCATACAGTAAGACAATTAAGCTACTCCACAGTTTACGTAGTTAATGTCATGCCTATTGAACCTGTGCTGAGAGTAAGGTAATTTAGGTTTAATTAAACGAAATTGTAAAATATATACTCCCTAAACTGTGAGTCCCCTATCCCAACTCAGAACTTCAATCTAATTAGGACTGATCCATTACACCTGTAGGTACATACCCTCTTTGCCTAAATAAAAATGTCTAATAATTGGCACGTCTAACTAATGTGACGTCTAACTAATGGGATATAACCCCTCCACCCATCAAGCTGACACTATTAACGGAAATATTATGGCGATGTTTCCAAATATGCCACAAGGAATAGCATCTATGTTTATCCTGTATATGGAGATATTATATTTAAGAACATTCGCATTTTACGGTCAAACGTGGGTAACCCCACTGAACAATACTGCCATGGCTACAAAGGAATATAGCTTTTTTATAGAAAGAAGAGTGTAGCTGTGATTTAAACGTTGGGTGTGTGTGTAGGGGGGGGGGGGGGGGGGGAGGGGGAGTAGGGGGGTCAGTGCCGATACATATTTATGGTTTATCAAGCTCACCTTACACACACATAATGGCTCATTCCATCTGAAGGTTGATCGCCCTTAACATGACTGTACTCAGTTAAGAGTGTTTTCACTGAACATGTTAGGTAGTGTTATAAGGTTAATATGCGTTTCAAAAACATTAGAAATTGGTAACAAATAAAACCGTTTATAGCTGCAATGATGAGTTGCATTAGATATACAAAGTTTGTGACAGATTGAAAGGAATAATAGATAAAAGACATTTCACATTTATCACAAGAGTATTCAGGACATTTCATATTTATCATTGGATTGGTTCCATGTTATCGTCGATTAGTTAATGAAACAAGCAGAGAGGCAAGATGCTTTTCATTTGTAGCATCCGGAGTAAGTCACAAAATCAATAGAGAGATGATCAATCTGGCACGTAGGCTTCTGTATTTTTTCGATTACGACACACATGAGTTCATGGTCAGATCTAACTTTTAACGAATCAAAATTAGGTGTCGTGACATGTGACAAAAACAGGCCAGGCCCGAACACTATGAAATGATACCTTTTAACTTTAAGAGAGGAGACCGCGGTTTGCAATCGATTGAGTCGAATCCCGATCGATCTAAGCTCGAGTCTGGCCGGTCTGATCTTGTCCTGTATTGATAGGTGACTGAGAGTAAGTAGAACAATGTGAGTATAAAGCTGGTGTTGCGTTTCTATATTATGCGAGTATGAATGTTGATGGAGACAATTTGGGGTAAGCATCTTTAGACCAATCACTCCTTGACGGAGCTGAACCGATGCCGACAGGGCGAATTACAAAGTCATGGCTAAATTGACCATGATGACCAGGAAAGGCAATACTTTCAGTAACTGTAGTGGGGTCGCACTTGACGCCATAACGCAGCTACGACAGCAGGTAGGTGTTGCTGAGTGTTCAACTTCATCACTACAAAATAAATATACATGCTTACCCCTCGACACGTTCACCCACGTCTCGTAGTCGTCTCCCGATGACTTGACTCTGCAAACAGACTGGAGAGCATAGTCGGACCAATACACATAGTCCTCAACAGGGTCATACACGGGGCACCGCGGGTTGGGGGTGTAGATCGGGAGAACCGTGCAGCCAGCTCCTGCATCCAGGACACATCGGAACACACTTCCATTGACTTCTAGACCCCCACCACTGTCTGTTATGAACATGATCTTTTCTGTCGCTGAAAATGAAGACGTAAATAACGACAATTTCATTTTCAGCCCAACTTTGTTAACGACGTCATTTGCGCCATTTGTCATTGTAACCGTATTCGCGGTAATGAGCGCTCTTGAGCTTATAAAAACCATTCACAACTAGTTAAATTTATTTTCAGCGGGTAGATCGAGCGGGTAGTGAACAAATATCTTTCATACTTGGGTGTGCCACAAACGTGTTTGGACTAGTAAAAGCAGCAACACACACACACACACACACACACACACACACACACACACACACACACACATGTTATCAATGAGGAAGTTCAGCATTCTCAGTAAACTTCCGATTGCATTTGCTTTCATTTAGACAAATTGCCCTGAACCTCTAAACATAGATATGTAACTGTAATAAAAGCCCCAATGGATTCAAGGGATGTCGTTTTTCGTCAAGTTTGTCATGTGGGACAATGGTGTACAAAGTTGAAAAATCAAATGTTTTGACAGAATGGAACTTGGTCTTTTCTGAGATTGTGAAAGTCAAACAAATCCTTTGCGTTTTGGGAATCCACATCGTAATAATTGTCTCGAATATTTATGACTATAAAGAGAGTCATCCCTTGAATGTAATAAGGATTATGGGATTTGGTGGTACATTTGCTCGACCCAGCAATACATCTGTCTTTGAGGATTTCTATGGAGCTTTGGAATCCAGAACAAAATATAAATCGGCAGGTTTAAGAAACAAGCCGAGAGTTGATAGTTGTCAATGAATTTGTTGTGATAAATCACTTATAACCAATGACCAAACATTATTTTGATATTTTAAATAACATAACATTTACATTACTTTATATGAAGCACAGTTAATTTTGTCCGCTAGTATACCAACCCAGTAAGGTAACGTATATATCATTTCTAATGTTCAATGTTGATACAATTTTAAAAAACTAGTGTGTGAATGTAACGGCGTATACATGTAAGTACAATAACATTGACAAAACCATTTACATAATAATAAAAAATATCTGCAAAACGCTGATTCCACTGTACAACCCCGACTATATCAGAAGCGTGTGTTTATCAATAACTTTCACATGGAGATGACACCAGGTGTTCGCGAAACTAGGGGATTCCACTGTAGAACTCTGACTATATCAGAAGCATGTGTTTATCAATAAGTTTCACATAGAGATGACACCAGGTGTTCGCGAAACTAGGGGATTCCACTATACAACTCCGACTATATCAGAAGCATGTGTTTATCAATAACTTTCACATGGAGATGACACCAGGTGTTCGCGAAACTAGGGGATTCCATTGGACAACATTTTGTCATTAATGCGTCTAATATGGACATGTAATCCACCTGTCTACAGGGGTGGTCGGGTAGCCTAGTGGTTAAAGCGTTCGCTCGTCACGCCGAAGACCCGGGTTCGATTCCCGACATGGGTACAATGTGTGAAGCCCATTTCTGGTGTCCCCCGCCGTGATATTGCTGGAATATTGCTAAAAGCGGCATAAAATCAAACTCACTCACTTACTCACCCATATGTCTACAAATCACTCTACACGTTTGTAAACTTTACAAAGGCATTGAATGTTGTAACCCTGAACAAACAACCTGATCAAACAACCTGACCAAACAACCTTTGAACAAGTGTCATATGATGATCTTTGTAATCCTCGTCGAAAGAGCATTCTCGATAGTACCCCAAAGCTTTGAAATGTCGACACAAAAGGCTGTAATGTTATGAGATATTGCTCGACATAAAGGGAAATTGGCTATTGGAATGTTGAAGTCACCTTACACTTTTGTGGATAGTTTTTTGTCACTGAATCGCTACGCATAGCCGGCAGTGTGTTATAGGCGTTTAGTGCATCTATACAGCTTTGTATATATTCAGAGTGGCGAAAACCTATCCACAAGACTGTGCATGCATTTGCCAACAAACAGTCTACTCTCATTTACACCAGGAAGTTTGCATTGGGTATGATTGAGTCACAACATATGCGTACGTGGGATATCATATATTTATAAGCAAACACACAATAACATCTATTTTTCAAAATCACAAACACAAAGCTGATCTTTACATTTTATTTTTCAAATTTACCTGCTGATAACCGGTACTTCCTGCTTGATCTTTTTTTAATCATCGTTAATGTGGAGCTGCGATTTCACAAATATGTTCATTTTTAAGTTAAGACGTACAAGAATGCACATGGTATTATTTGTACGAGACATATATATCTAAAGCGTAAAATACGGACACAGGTCGTTTTCTGCGTTCGCCAAACCACGAATTTTACGATCTTTCAATTCTGTTTTTTCTAATAAGCGCCCCTCTTTTCTAATTTTGAGAGCGCCCTGGGCGCTTATTACGTCGAATACGTTGTATTATACGTTAGTGAGTTTCCACTAGGTTCATCTTAGGATTTATAAGTGAGGCGTGGGACAAGTATTGTTTTTTTTGTTTTTTTCTGGGAATTGAGTCATGGCTCATAGATTATGGACAACGTCTTTGAGTATAGTCTATATTTACGAAATTGGGAAGAATGTAAATTTATATGGAACGGTATATGTGTTTTTCACAAACTAGTTTCTTGTTTATGTATATTTGTCAAACTAATAACTAGACTCTAGTTATCCTAATAAACGTTTGTTTTGTGTGAATGTAAAGTATTCACATGGCATTCACAAATATTTATTTAGGATTTAGGATCCTTATTATATATTAAGGATTTATTCATGCTAGTGCTAATGTGCTAGCAAATAATATGAAGTCATATAATTGTTTGTCATCACTACGAAAGCTATATTGTTTGGTTTTCTTTAAAAAGACTTATGTTTATGTTACATTTTCAGGGCTTATTATTATGATTGTTATTATGCATTCTGATTAAACATGGCTGCCATCTGAACCTACAAGTAGCCTCGTGTTGTGTGTGCGCCACCAACACATACCCCATACTACACATATATATTGCAACTACGTATTGTGACAGTGAATGTAGATTTACGACGCGGTCTGTAATGTCACAGTTGTATATTTGCTTCCTGGGCAAGTCCAATCAGGGTATATCACAGAGTTTGGGCACCGGATGCTTCTCTGGAGTCCCAATGAATGTGAGTGAGTGGGTGAGGTCTGTTTAGTGCCGCTTTAACTGTAGTCCAGTTACATCACGGCGTGTCAGCTAAATGTGGGAGGAAAGCCCGAAGTGATCTCAGACGTTTACCACTTCGGTGAAACCCACGAGCACAGGTTTGGTTCTGGCAAACCTTGTAACATAATCTGGGCGAACCGGGATTCGAACCCACAATCATAGGTTTCTGGCGTGCCCAAGAGACGCAACTCTGCACAGCGAATCGCGGCGCACTAGACGACTGAGTCACCCGTGAAATATACGTTTCCTTAACTAAAAAAGTACCTTTGCAGAGATCTACAGTATTGGGAAGCCAACGTACCATCGTTAAATTCCGCGGTAGCGTTGAGGAGTGCCAGAGCAGAGATCAACAGTAATGGGAAGCCAACGTACCATTGTTAGATTCCGCGGTAGTGTTGAGGAGTGCCAGAGCAGAGATCTACAGTAATTGGAAGCCAACGTACCATTGTTAGATTCCGCGGTAGAGTTGAGGAGTGCCAGAGCAGAGATCTACAATAATGGGAAGCCAACGTACCATTGTTAGATTCCGCGGTAGTGTTGAGGTGTGCCAGAGCAGAGATCTACAGTAATTGGAAGCCAACGTACCATTGTTAGATTCCGCGGTAGTGTTGAGGAGTACCAGAGCAGAGATCTACAATAATGGGAAGCCAACGTACCATTGTTAGATTCCGCGGTAGAGTTGAGGAGTGCCAGAGCAGAGATCTACAATAATGGGAAGCCAACGTACCATTGTTAGATTCCGCGGTAGAGTTGAGGAGTGCCAGAGCAGAGATCTACAGTAATGGGAAGCCAACGTACCATTGTTAGATTCCGCGGTAGTGTTGAGGAGTGCCAGAGCAGAGATCTACACTAATGGGAAGCCAACGTACCATTGTTAGATTCCGCGGTAGAGTTGAGGAGTGCGAGAGCAGAGATCTACAGTAATGGGAAGCCAACGTACCATTGTTAGATTCCGCGGTAGTGTTGAGGTGTGCCAGAGCAGAGATCTACAGTAATGGGAAGCCAACGTACCATTGTTAGGAGTGCGAGAGCAGAGATCTACAGTAATGGGAAGCCAACGTACCATTGTTAGGAGTGCGAGAGCAGAGATCTACAGTAATGGGAAGCCAACGTACCATTGTTAGGAGTGCGAGAGCAGATATCTACAGTAATGGGAAGCCAACGTACCATTGTTAGGAGTGCGAGAGCAGAGATCTACAGTAATGGGAAGCCAACGTACCATTGTTAGGAGTGCGAGAGCAGAGATCTACAGTAATGGGAAGCCAACGTACCATTGTTAGGAGTGCGAGAGCAGAGATCTACAGTAATGGGAAGCCAACGTACCATTGTTAGGAGTGCGAGAGCAGAGATCTACAGTAATGGGAAGCCAACGTACCATTGTTAGGAGTGCGAGAGCAGAGATCTACAGTAATGGGAAGCCAACGTACCATTGTTAGGAGTGCGAGAGCAGAGATCTACAGTAATGGGAAACCAACGTACCATTGTCAGGAGTGCGAGAGCAGAGATCTACAGTAATGGGAAACCAACGTACCATTGTCAGGAGTGCCAGAGCAGAGATCTACAGTAATGGGAAACCAACGTACCATTGTTAGGAGTGCGAGAGCAGAGATCTACAGTAATGGGAAACCAACGTACCATTGTTAGGAGTGCGAGAGCAGAGATCTACAGTAATGGGAAGCCAACGTACCATTGTTAGGAGTGCGAGAGCAGAGATCTACAGTAATGGGAAGCCAACGTACCATTGTTAGGAGTGCGAGAGCAGAGATCTACAGTAATGGGAAACCAACGTACCATTGTTAGGAGTGCGAGAGCAGAGATCTACAGTAATGGGAAACCAACGTACCATTGTTAGGAGTGCGAGAGCAGAGATCTACAGTAATGGGAAGCCAACGTACCATTGTTAGGAGTGCGAGAGCAGAGATCTACAGTAATGGGAAGCCAACGTACCATTGTTAGGAGTGCGAGAGCAGAGATCTACAGTAATGGGAAACCAACGTACCATTGTTAGGAGTGCGAGAGCAGAGATCTACAGTAATGGGAAACCAACGTACCATTGTTAGGAGTGCGAGAGCAGAGATCTACAGTAATGGGAAGCCAACGTACCATTGTTAGGAGTGCGAGAGCAGAGATCTACAGTAATGGGAAGCCAACGTACCATTGTTAGGAGTGCGAGAGCAGAGATCTACAGTAATGGGAAGCCAACGTACCATTGTTAGGAGTGCGAGAGCAGAGATCTACAGTAATGGGAAGCCAACGTACCATTGTTAGGAGTGCGAGAGCAGAGATCTACAGTAATGGGAAGCCAACGTACCATTGTTAGGAGTGCGAGAGCAGAGATCTACAGTACTGGGAAGCCAACGTACCATTGTTAGGAGTGCGAGAGCAGAGATCTACAGTAATGGGAAGCCAACGTACCATTGTTAGATTCCGCGGTAGAGTTGAGGAGTGCCAGGACACACAGGACGAGGACAGGTGCAGTATCCACCATGTTGTCACACAAGTACGTCTACCCCGCCAGGTGGTGATACAGGTATCTCAGCTCAACAACTGGTTGTGTACGAGGAAGTATATTACGCCTCAACGCAATGTGCACCTTTATGTAACAGTGAGAATCTAGACTTAACTTTGAGCTGTAGGTGGTTGAGTAGGATTAAAATGTCACGAGAGTCAGCAATTTATGCACGTCTCATTATGAAATGTGATAGGATGAATCGAAAATAATACGATCGCACTCTTATATATAAGTTATAAAATATAAATTATTACCCATTTCCATCCATTTGCAGGTATCATTGTGACATTCAGTTCACCATTGATGTCCTACAAGTGGCCATCAAGAATTAGTCTGCTATATTTAAGGGTTATTAATAAACGTCGGATCTGGCTCCACATTTACCCATGTGGTTGTATTCGCATGATGCTGATAAAAAGAATATTAATGTTAGCACGTTCCGGCAGGATAAACGCTTGCGACCGGACAATAACTTCTAGCTTTTTGTGAAAGATAAGATTGTGAATATCATGCGTCTCCCAATAGTCTAATACATTGTCAACATGACAGCTATACATTGATTTGATTTGCTGACAAACAGTGAAGCCTCTGAAAAATCTTTTCACATCGCCGTTAGACCCAAGTCAATATCTGAGGGAAATAACAATCATGTGTCAAACTGTAAATATGAAATGTAGATTATGCAATGGATTTAATGAGACTGTCCAACACATTGTCAGTGGATGCCCAGCTTTGGCACAAACACAGTATCTTAAGCGACATAGTGGCGTAGCTCGATCTTTTTATTACCGGTTTTCGCAATGCTTGTGTTTTTGACTCGGAGGTCCATCCTTCATACGATCCGAAATATGCAAAGGGCGTCATAGAAATTGAAATTTATAAAATTATTTGGAATAGGCCCGTATACAGCCTCAAACCTACCCTCGCCATCAACATCTTACCTTAGCCTTTTTTATAAATCCAATGAAATCATTCATATCATTGAATTATCTGTCCCTTTTGGCACGGATGTGATTGACCGAATTCAGGAAAAACGAAATATGCAGACCTCGCTTTCGAAATGTCACGCTCGCATCCCAAGTACCAAGTTGTCCGACTCCCCATTGTTCTCGGTGCCTTAGGTTTGGTACCTCCCAATTTGTTGACTGACATCGGGAGAGTACCCGGGTTTGCTACCAGGAATACAGCCCTTCTGACAATCTGGGTAATGCAGAAGGCTGCAGTGTTGCGAAGTCTTCACATTCTCCGAAAAGATCTGGATGGGTTCGACTAGGCAGCGCTTCTTGGGAGAAGTCCCATTAGCTGTCTGGGCAGCGTGTAGATGGGGCAAGGGCCTTTAGCTGATGATGAGCCTAACTAGCCTGACCGTGCAAGGGTCACCCAAACCCTCCTTGCTGCACTTATATATTTTCATCTGTAAATAATAATAATATGCTATTTTGTGCACTACTTGTACAAGTCTGGACTACTACCAGTTTTATTGTGCTAGCCCACTGAGATACCATGCCACAGTTTTAACTTCAATAGTCTGGTCCTTGTCTGGTCCTTGTTTTGACCCGTTTTTGCCGAGCACAGGCAGGGCAACAACAAGTAACGAGTATCCGCAAGACCACGGAGGCGTCGGATGTAATGACAACTATACTGAAGAGCAAGCAAACGATACCAAATTAAATTTATAAGAATTAGGATTCGAAGACGAATTAATGGTACCAAATCATATAACATCAATCGTAGAAATGCAGCAGACACGGGTGCGACTAGAAATCTTGCAATAAAAATGAGTCTACATGTATCCCAGAGGGCAGGAAACGAGACTGCTTTCTATACAATACTCTATGGTTATAACGAATTCATTTTAGTTCGTTATAACCGAAGTTTGTTATGAGCATGCACACAGTAAATGGCCGGGACCAAAAAAACAGATGGTTTTATAAACGTAGTTTAATGTTTGGTGCTTGTGCTTGTGTTCACCATGGTGGCAGTCGGGAACAGGTTAAACAAGTTTGTATGTGACAAGCACTAACGATTAGATTACGTCCTGGTTGGAGTGAGCTTACAGGCGATAGTGTAGTCTGTCGCGCAGTCTTTGAACCATATTATTTTCTCTTCCGCCCAGCCCTTACTGTAATGTTATAGCTCATTATGAAGCAAGTCTAGAATTTCAGTTTAGGAATCTCCCATCTCCGGGCTCCTTTTCTATCTAAATGTAATTTCTTATTTCTGTCAAAGTTATATAGTTTCCGAGACTTAGCATTAGTCTAGCGGTATTGCACAACTGGCCAATCAATAACTACGCATGCGCGTATGCTGTTACAAGTAGTCTCGCGGCGACGGCTGTGGCGACAAGGCGAACCTAACAATCGGAGAAAAATATCTCAAGGCTCAAATAAGGTGGGTACCAAGATTCAGCATTATCGCCAACTGAACTCATAAAGGAATGCAATAACACATCCCACCTATAGTTACGGTAATAAATCTTGAACAAATGGTGGTCGCAAGCTTGCCGTCATTCTATATGCATTTGTAATACGTCGAAATGCATAGGATTATTTGGGTTCAGGATGTATGTTGTCAGTGGCTGGTTGCTGTGGCTAAAACAAGGGTCGTACACAATTTGAATTTTTTAGTCGGAATCGTACGGTGGAGTCCGCCGTTTACAGATTATGATTATGGAAAGGGTGTTGTCGCCTTATCTACAGTGAAACCATTTGATCAATGACACTTCAAAGAGAACGAAAGCGAAACTAGGATTATTTTCAGAGGCTTTTAACAGAATCAATTGTGTTCTGGGAAATCAAATACGTTTCAGATACGATTACATTGAACATATTTTAAGAGATAAGGGTATCTCAATTGTTTATTATGTACATACCGACATGCTGAATATTCATTTTCCACAGTAAATTTTTAATTATTTTATATTCGTTTTTGTGTTGTTAAAAAATAGGTTGCCCTAGAAACGGGACAATGAACACCGGTGTAATGTTGCTATTATGCACTGACTACACCACTGGTTGCCTATGTTTGAACGCCTTCAGTGTTGGAGGGAGTTATTGAAATGTCTGTCTGGCAACGTGCCAAACATTTCATTGATTACATGTAGGTTAGTATTCGTAGCTTGTTGTTTGTACAGAGACGTTGTGTCATAACTGTACCATTTATATGTGTAGGTATACACGCCTTTTTCTTTTCTCATTGCTCGTACGTGACTGAGTGAAAACGTAACACGTACCTGCAGTTACTTGTATCCTTGCATCCCATTTCTGGTGGCAGGTTGTGTGAGACTGAGACTGTATGTCATCCTGCACCGGTCACTGGTTTGCCTGATCAAAAGCGTGAGACTGAGACTGTATGTCATCCTGCACCGGTCACTGGTCTGCCTGATCCGATGCGTGAGACTGAGACTGTATGTCATCCTGCACGGGTCACTTGTTTGCCTGATCCGATGAGTGAGACTGAGACTGTATGTCATCCTGCACAGGTCACTGGTTTGCCTGATCCGATGCGTGAGACTGAGACTGTATGTCATCCTGCACTGGTCAGTGGTTTGCCTGATCCGATGCGTGAGACTGAGACTGTATGTCATCCTGCACCGGTCACTGGTTTGCCTGATCAAAAGC